TGCCATAACACACAACACTAATAACAAGCTTATTATATAAATCCATTTTCCATTTTAATAATCTGTCTGACAAATTTCGATAAATTGTAAGATATATAATATCTTATATAATGACGTTATTACAACGTATAACATTTCATAGAAGCCTGAGTATTTGATAAAACATTGTAGTCATCATAATAAAACTTCACGCAAGTTTGTGTGATTCCAAAATCATTTTCCAAAAGTTTTTGTTACATAACATTTGCTGGAATAGTTATATTCAATTGTCTTTAGTTGTTAGGGAGACATATGATTATGTTTGAAAAGATTTATAATTTAGCAGATAAGATATCGGGTATGTTTAAGTTATATAAATAAAATTTTCATTTAGGGATATAAATATGTCTTTTTATTTGATATCACTTATGTAATAAATTGCAAATTCATTTTTGTTTCAAAAATTGATAATTAGAAACTATAACGAAGTACATGTATTTCTCAGTAGGCATTATGGATTCGAAAAATCATTTTGCAAACGCCGTCCAATAGCAAACATCTTTCTATATAGATATGTAAATACAAGTTATATAAGTTTATAATTTATAGATTAGGAAACTACAATATCCGATAAAAAATAATAATAACCGTACTTGTTACATATGTTCTGTTGTCAAATATTATTCCAAACTGTTGTAATATGTCGAAGAAAATAGTAATAGGCAAGAACGAAAGATTAATAGAGGAAACTTTTGGTGAAACAATCGATAACTTTGTTACAAAAGAGGTAAGATAAGATGTGACCCACACTAAAAAGATTGTTAGAACGATTGGAAAAATGTTTTCACGACGGTGAATTTTAATCTGTATATATTTTAAATCATTATGCGCTAGATACTTTGAAATACAATTTGTCTATCGCATTTTACTTCAAACGTGAAAATTCGTCACAAAAATGCCCATTTTCTATGTTTCGTGTTTAAGGAGAGCTGCTTACAGGTAACATTTTTTACTTTCTGTACAAAGTGGTGTAAGTACAAATCGATATTGTACTTGTAAACATTTTCAGCAGAATACTGGTTTTTGTGTTCATCCACAATATGTTATCAAAATGAGAAATCAAAATGAAATTAAACGATTGGTGAATTTATTCATCTCTCATTTAAGAAGTACGATATACGACTAAATACTCTAAAAAATAAAAGTTATTAAAACAATGAAGAAATGATAAAAGAATAAAGGTCAGGTTAATTCTAATAATTATTATTAAATATGAGAAAACCATTTTGATTACTTTGACATTCAAGTAAAATACCATTTAGGCTTAATCACTTCAGATGTTGAATTTTGCGATTCTTTTTAAACTGTTGGATATTTTGTTTTGAAATTTGCTTAATTGATGCCTACTATCCGTTTTGCTTCCTCTGATGTAAAAAAGCATTGCATAAAGCACGAAATACAAAATCAATACTGTTAATTTTCTTGTTCTTTTATTAACATTTTTTATTCTTCACGTTATCAGTACAACATAAGATCAACATAATATACATATAAATAGCTATATAGATATAAAATCAAGTACATTATCTATGAGGTCAACCTAACAGGTATGAGCTAGATAAAAGATATTGTATGGGAAATTATCTTTGAGCAAAAACTTAAAAATGACATGTTAAAATAGGTAAATCATAATAATAATGCTTGTTATACAGTGTAAAACACCAGAACACCGTGACAAAATTGACTATGTTAATCCACACACTATGAATATACGCTGTGATGTATGAGACAACGGGTTACATCAATCCTTCATACACATTTCATACAATTACAAGACATCACCTACTGATTAAATGTGATAATAATATGCACTGTTCGTTTTTTTTTTACTTAAGTTGACATATTACTGTATGCATTTATACTGCTGATATAGAAACAAAAAATCATAAGCGAAAACTATGAATATGGATTTTACTTATTAGACTGTAATCTTATTTTGTATAATGAATTTAAATGATCATTAAATGTTTTTGCAATTAAATTGAGCAATCATGACATATTGATGATTTATGTTGGGATGCATTTATCAATTCCAAAAATAAAACAATATTTGTTATCTAATTAAAGTATATTATCTTATAGTATGCAGTATGACGACACATTATCACTCTTAGTATCTGTATAATGCTAAACCTGAAACATTTACGAAGTCAAACACAGAACGTGTCTTGCACCTATTGCATCACTAAACAAGAAGTTGACGAAAGTCCACAACACCTTTATAAATGTTCTCGAATTTAAAAAAGTTTTGGTTGAACCTATAGTATCGGGTTCCATTACATGACAGTGAGTTTCTGAAATATTCGTTCCTTTGTAGATTTTGACACAAATTACATTCACAACAAACAAATGTGTTTCTTTGACGTAGTAATTGTCTATGGCGTAACGGCCATTCTGTACAAAAGTTGCTCAAACAAATCCAAAAATAATTCTCCATCGTTTCAAAACTCAAAAGCATTTAACTTTAAGGTCACAATTATCGTTGGCGTTACGACCACTTGCTTACCAAATAATCAAATATCAAACAGACTAAAATGGTGGAGAGGTCATGGGTCGAGGGTCCAGTAAACTACACGGTCTATGAAATGGTTACAAACAATCCTCATATTACAATAAGAAATGTGATATTTGTGAATAGCTTGGTCCGGGAGGGAGTTCAGAGTGCGTGATTTATGAACGAAGAGTAATGTTCTTATTGTATAACAATGGTGGTATCATGGTACCCGTCACACGCGTCAGCCACGTCTTTACCTGTGTGACCAGTACTGAGTGGCTTGAATATTACGTGCCGTACTTGTGTGGCCGGTATCCGACTTTATTATTACGTGCCGAGTGTTTTCGTACTCGGTACTTTTGAAATATGTACCCACATTCCACCAATTACATGCAATTACACGATCATAAGTAACCATTGGAACGCCACGTGTTTAGTCTAAAGCCACTTTCAACAGATTTTCCATTTATAAACAACAGTTAACGTCAGTCGTTGATATGAAAGTTTTGTCATGTTTTATATTTTACTAAACAGCATCGTATATTACCAAGTGATTTAAAATTTAAAACTGCTTCAAGGTGTTGTTCTACAGTTAAATAAATGGTTGCATTTATGTAGTCTTCGTCGCATCATGTTAATGCACTTATGTTTGTTATCTTAAAATTTCAGATTGTTAAAGAAGTGTACTGTGAAGCGGTTATCAAAAACTAGTTTTTCGTTCACTTAAATTATAATTTCATTCTATAACACCTAATACGAATAATTGTGTTAGCAAACATTCGTAATAGAATCATATGCATACATCCAACGTTGATACAGTGAATGATAAATGATTATCAAAGGAAAATTCCGGGGAAAGAAGCATGCATGGAAAATCATTGTTAGGTCCTCACCGGCAATACATGTAACTTACATCTGTAGAAAATATTATATATGGACTATATGAATTTATAAAAGCATGCGTTGTCTATTAGCGGAGGTTGTGTTGCAAATTTAACAACCCGACCATCATTATATAACATAAAACTTATTTTAATAAAAATATAACTATACTCAAATACAAAAAAGCCGTGCGCACTACAATATCGGGTTTCGGATCCAATTATAAAATGAATTTAAGAACGAATTATGGAAAATTAAAGATACTGGCATAAATATCTAGTTTTCCTAAAATTGCATTTATAGTAAAGAAGTGTTGTTCTAATCTAGAAGTGATATTGTGCTGATAAAGAAGTTGTTTTAAATAAGATTTTATGTTTAAAATTGAGAAATTTACTCAACTGTTTATTTATTTTTTTAAATATATTTTAGGAAGTCGTTGTATTTGAGGTTTTCTGTTAATAGAAATATATTATTATTTTACTGACGATTTTATATTTGCAATATATATAGAGTTGTATTACTGGTGGTAACAAGATAAATTATAATGGCGTGTCGATGGAACGCATATGAGCCATTCAAATATATATTCAAATATAAATATATTCCAACGTCATGTAATTGCAAGTATGTAGATTCCCCCAAGCTGTGTGTGTATCTATCATTCTCCTACTTCGACGAAAACTACGTGTGATGTGAGCACTTCAATGACACATATCAGTTATGTTCTCATTCTTAAATCTCATTCACCGATACAATCTAAAATGGAAAACGACATTTTTATTTAAAGGCAAGAATTGCATGAAAGCTGACACCCACAGTTTCTATGAATCTATATTTTAAATTGTTGAATAGCCAGTACCAAGCAAGTGACTGCGTTTTTTTTCTGTAAAACATAAAATTCCTGCTCAGTAGCAGTGAATATAACAATGAAAATAATACAAACATCGACGAATTATTTGTGTTATCCATAACTATTATCACACTTGATATTTGTTATCGTGGTGTAAAATCATAAAACGAAAATTTTCGTTTAATTATTTCAACCAATTTTTGATATCGGTATCCTTTTTGTATTAATGACATAATTAAATGGTTGCTTAAATTTTGCGTTTTACAGAGCATGGAAATGTCGTTTTTTTTAGCTCGAAACTATATTTCAAAAAAGATCGCATATTTTGATATATTTCTTTCGTTTTCATTATTACTTTAATATTTTTTGTCGCTATATTTTTTTTCATTAAAAATTGTTGCATTTAAAGTTAACCATATGTGCAGCATTTTCTTATTTTCTTTTCTTTCTCTAGTATATATTATTTCATTTATATTTACTCAACTAATATCGCCATAGCTAATCTGCGATATGTGGAACCCATAGGCAAAACTTGTAATACAAAAATAATAGTAAAGACAATTTTTATCAAAAATGTTTGATATCATTATATTTTGTAAATACTCCATATCCTTACTTTTACTACAAGTAGTTTTTATATTTATGGCATCAACAAAAAATAACATAAAATTCGAAATAATTTTGTTAAAAGGGTTTTAACGCCGGTATGGCTCAATCTTTTTTGCATCTCAAGAAATTCAAAATAATATTCATAATATATGAATAAGAACTAATTGAATAAATATTAGGATATAAAAGAAGTTACCTTATATGGAAGTGAACAAACGGTGTAGTCACATGATAAATATGCGTTTATCCTATCATAGCGCACTACAGAATATCAAGCAGAAGTTGTTATGAAGTCAGGTCAGGTGCACCCTCACTAATTCGATATATAATACATAATACGGCATTAATGTTTGGAACATTTATTCTTTTGTTGTATGATTCACTCAGCTGTTACTAGCAGTTAACGCTTTACTTCTATGGTTGTTTTAATATCTGATAAAATAAAAACACTGTAGAAAAGCTAAACCTATCAAACTTTATCATTTGTTTCTATAAAACATAAACTGTGCAGAAAAAAATAATGTATTTCTTCAATTTATCACTTTTTTGAAATTAATATCAGCTTACAATATTTGTTTTATCACGTTTTATAGAATTTATTTAGTTCAAGAGTGAACAAATTGTATGGCTTGAAAATTAATAGCCCAGCATTTGCCATACAAACCAATATTTCAAAATATAATTGCGGTTTTTCATTACGTGTTTTAAAAGCTGTGTATATTTGTATGGGCAACTAATTAACGAATCGATAATAAATAAACTGTTATTTCGTTTCCATCTCAAGTCGCGAAAGTATTTATATAACGCCGGAAAAAATGTTTTCATAATTCCGCGTTTACCTGGATTTCACATTTTTTATTAAGATATTTTTTTTGGAAATAACAACGAATATGACTTTTTCATCAGAACTTAATTTATATATGTACCATTAAATAACAAAGATTTTCAGCGACAGAATGAAAATGATTTACGACATATCGAAATATACATAAACGAATATCTCAACCGTTCCTATTACATCTGTATCAACGAAAATATCTCCACTTTAACAATAAAATAAAAAATGTAATTGAATGTAAATCAATATCACTGTCGGGCATGTAGGCTGTAAAGACACGATAAATACCTATATATTTTTTCACGATGAGGTGGTACATTGGCGATACACAACACAAAACCGCATTATACTACTTGAGCGTCAATACGAGATCTGTAATTGGCCATAGACATTGCTTTATTGCCTTTTTCGACAGTATACCACTTCTCAGGCCATCTTAATTATCACTGACAAATATTTACTGCCACCCGTTTTTGTCCAATTTCTCATAAACTTGAGTGGCAAAGGCGACTAAGTGTGCTGTTTTACGACAGAAAAACATAAAATTTGTCAAAGATTATTGAGCGTCAAGAACGTGAACTCAAGATCAAATTTCATGACCACTACACGGCCATTTTATATGGTCTGATATTCTGTTTGTTGGGTATTAAAATACTCATTAAATATACCACTCAGGTCCGAGGATCCCGGGTCGTTACACACCATATTAGCAGAGTATTGTTCCGAAGGGTAATCAGAGTCAGAGCTGTGGTGGCCGGCTAACGTTCGTATTGACGTTTCGGTCGAGAGTTGGCGAGAGTTCATTACGTGATTAACGTCCTGCGAGTAACCCTCACCATAATTGATACCATAAAGTGAATTTGATGAATTCTGTTCCATACGATGAGACAGCTGGGGATATGTCGGTTGCTTTGCCATATAACCGCCGTTATGGCTACCATGTCGGGTTGCTATGCTATTGTTCTCAGATGGCGCTACATGGTTATATCGAGATGGCGGCTGCGTGTAGGAAGTCTGACAGTGCATTCCGGTGTTAACTCTGTATTGGTATAATGGACTAATGGATGCACTGTGCTCGTTGTTACCGAAACCGTCACTGGCTACTGGAGAATGTGCTGTCTCATTATTCCATGAATCTGCTGCAGCCAAACCACTGGTACGAAACTGAATGCTGGGAAATGAATACACAGAGGACGAACCACGCATGCTCCGTTTCATGTTGTTACCATAGTTATTGTTGTTTAGGGAATCAAATTGTCCGGAATTGTAGTTACCCATATGTTGCTGTTGCTGAAGTGAAGAACGACCAGAATCGGTTTGCTTGACTTCAGTTTGTCCCATTCTTGTTGTTTGGTACGGGTATGGAGACATATTAGCCATATCATGGGGTTTTGTTGGAGGAAATCCTGAGTTGTAGTGTAATGGGGCCGTCGTGTATCGTGTTTGATCCATGTATGTATTACCGTAAGACCCAAAGTGTTGAGACATCGTGGACAAATTTTCCGTTCCTGGACAAGCATCAAGGCGACCCTTGTTATTTGTATAGCCATTCTCATGTCTATTTCTACTCGCACAAACATCTCGCTGAACCGGGCTAGACTTAAGAGACGACGATGAGTATTGGGGAGTTCCGTGACTCATATCAGGATTAGAATTAGTTGGGTTAAAATCAACACAATTAGAGACCAGAGATTTAATAGAGCTAGGAGGCGTACTACACGGTAATAATACAGGCGAATACTCTAATCCCGTCCTACCTGTCAAAACTTCACTTGACACCTCCGTAACGTCATCAAGCACATGCATCTTCGAATCGTCCAAGCTATCTTTACTATTCGAGATATTGCACGCACAGGCTGAATCAGGACTGTTAAGTGTTTGGAAGTCAAACGATTGAGCCGAGTGTTGATTTCCGTTGGGGTCGGCGGTGTCCTTTGATGTATGAGTTTTCTCTAAATCAATGACCTCGTCTGTCTCATTCACATTTCGATCATCAGCAATGTCTATTCCATTTGTTATGGTAGCATCTCTGTTGTTATCGTTACCCGGGGGTTCACTGTTTCCCTCGTCACTACTTCCAGGGGAGCTAGCCTTTAGAATATGTTCTAGTGTTTTTGTTTCGTTTCCATCAGAAGAATACTGTCCGTTGTTTTCCATGTTTTCGTGTTTACTTTCAGCATTCTCCAATCTCTCACAACTTTCTTCAGATGATGTAGGACTATCCATACCACAATCCATCGAAAATGATTTTGCGCCATTTTCCACTTTCTGCCTTTGTGACTGGGTTTGTCGTTTGTATTTCATCCGCCTGTTTTGAAACCAAACTTTGACCTGTCTTTCCGTGAGATCCAAAGAGGCTGCTATCTCAATCCTCCGTGGTCTACACAAATACTTGTTAAAATGGAACTCCTTTTCCAATTCCAATAGTTGAGTGTTTGTATAAGCCGTTCGTAGTCTACGTGTGCCGCCACTACCACTACTTCCGTTACTATTTCCACTTCCGGTTCCACCATTACCATTACTTGTTGGCGTCGTGGCATTTTGTGGATGGATCGGGACAAACTCGGAAGCTACAACGTAAAACAGAAAACGATATGATATTTTCAATCGAATTTAAAATCATGACTTAAATTGTGATCAAAATGATTCACCCTTCGTTTAACCCAGTAAAAGTATTTACGTAAACACTACATTTTTTGAATAAAAATGGCATGACCATGGCGAATTATTGTAATCACGGGATATTTATTCATCTACATTGCTCACAAATTACATACAGTACATACTGATAAAATGAACTCATAATAACAATTATATAAACTACTCTTTACCTCAGGCTTTGAAAGGTTAATACACTATATTTCGATTGCAAGATTTAATACATATGTTTATGCCATTAAATTTACATAATTGCTTTAGATATTCAATCAAGAAAAAAGGAAAGTAATGATAAAGTAATTAATCAAATGACAAATAAAACATATACTTTATATATTATATTTGTAATTTTGGGCGATTTTGCTATATTCTATCTTGTTTACCAAAAATGAAGAAGATGATTCAAACGATATAATTACAGTCAATGATAAAAACGATATAATAACAGTCAATGATAAAAACTTAAAAACCATTAAATAAATAAAACGTTGACTGGATAATGAATGCATTAATGTATTGATAAACATATTTACAGACTAACAAGGAACTAGATTGTATTTAGATGATAGAACCGATGGTCAACCACGACAAGTAGTTACATAGATACAATATTAATTTGAACTGATAACCAGTTATAACCAATACCACCTGGATATCGCGTATGTAAGTTTACTGTCACACCCTAGCTGAGACAAACGCGTGTGTAACCACATGTCAATCGCGTGTGTAGTTTTAATGTAACATCCTAGCTGGGACACACGTGTGTGTAACCACATGTCAATCACGTGTGTAGTTTTACTGTCACACCCTAGCTGAGACAACCGCGTGTGTAACCATATGTCATCCATGTGTGTAATTCTACTGTCACACCCTAGCTGAGACAACCGCGTACTGTGGCGTTATAAATAAACATAAATAATATGACGTCATATAAAAACAACACACTATTTGGAAACTATACAACTAATCACTACATGCGTATGAGATGAAACATCTCGATCCAAAGGTTTAAATAGTGCATCCACCACTTGGCAAGCTTGCCAATGATCAATAACTATTATAAACCGTCAGATTGGAGATTTCTGCTCCAATGCATTGACTAGCGACAGTATATATTCTTTTATCAAAAATACAGTGATCGTAGGTGAAATATACATACGGTCAAATACATAATCATCTTTACATCAGCTACTTCTTTCATACTGAATCTTATTGCCAAATATCTAAGTTTGGATAACAGCTCTACTCCTTGTTGTGAATATATATATAATATGGATACGGTTGAATATTTCTTGATAGTTTGTTAAAAACGCGTTTTGCTAATGAAGCATTTAGAAAATTGCACAAAACATATACAGGTCCTGTAGTGGTCAGCATTTCTGGCCTTATAGTTTGATATTTACATTGACCATCTATTGTAGTTCAATTGTTTTTGATATTAACGTAAGTGCCTTTCCATTCACACGGAAACTTTATAAAACAATTCTAGACGTTTTCATTTTAGCATCGATCTGCCGAGCTGCAAACAAAACGTCGAGACTTGATGAATAATTCTCATATGTCTTGGAAATGAATATCTATTTATGCACATACTCAAAACTTAACCCGAATATTCTCGAAAAAAGTCTATTGTCTTTATTCTGACGTCTACATAAATGCTACCATATAAGGTAATATGCTACATTATATGACAAGTTGCTTTCACTTAATGCAAAAGCTGCAAGATTTGACTATGTAACAAAACTATGGATAGAGTACTCATTTCAATAATGTTCTATAGATTCGTACCGAAACAGTCGTGATAAACCTAGAATAACTATGTTTTTTCTCAATAAAACTGTATTTATGAATACCTAATTTTATTAATAAGGATACTTTTGTAAATGTTAACATAAATATATTGTTATAGATATCAGATAATCAACATGTAACTAAACGCCTCGTTATATCGGCATCAATTACCAAGATAATATTGGCGTTTTTTGGCGAATGTGTAGCAATACACCGAAAAAGCCTTTAATAACAATAGTTGTTAAGAAAACAAGAAAACAGGACAATGGAATCTGTTTGCGATTATCGCGATTGAAAAAAAAAATCGTACTTGTACAAACTGTACAAGACGCGCACGCGGTTATAGATAAAAAGAAAGATGTATGTTAATTATGAAAAAGTAGCACAGTCCGTACATGTAAGTTTAAAGTATGACTCGTGATTTGAAAAACAACTAGATAGATTAATTCTTTATTCAGCATTAATATATATGATCCCACAGGTATTAAAAAAGGACGAATTAATCGTTCAAACTTTAAAATAAATCCGTTTTCATTACCATTTATCCAGTTTATTACATAGTCAATGATACATAACAATTATAATATGTATTAAAGATGAAAGATACTGTTATCGTAGATTCTCGATATTTTAGTATTATTGATAACTTAGACCGTATAGATAAACATATACCTAACCTAACAAACTGACTGTGTGGTACTGTGAAAAACATCTCATTATTTTTTTACGTCCCATCCCGACAGGCTTAAGACTACCTGAAAACACATAACTATGTGTCTGGTAGCAAAAGATGAGAATCCTTGGATTTGAATGGAGACCGGTTATCTATCAGAGAAATAATTATGTGTTTTCAGTTAGTCTACTCTTTAGATATTACTGATCTCCTTTCAAATCCAAGGATTCTCATCTTTTGCTAGCAGCCAATATGTGCCACCTCTACCATTCCTTTAATATTTCCTTTCATTTAATTAAGATAACCGTATTAAAAGTAAACAAATAAAAAATAACATTTGAATAAATATAATATAAATATGTTTTTGTCCATAATCTAATATCTTTTATTTTTCAAGCTGTAGAATAGTTTGCTACAGGTAGCCTCTGCGGAAGCTCTGTGTTTTTTTTAATACTGGGAAAATCTCTATCTTCTTTTTTAAAATGATGAAATATCATGAAATTGTCGCAGAACAAAAATATCTTGCTTTAAAGTTATTTAAAACCATTGAGCTCCTTCATTAACAGTTGTAAGCAAATAAAACAAGGTTAGACGCGTGCTTAGAATATTTGTGTTTCGTGCTGCTATATGTATGACGTCACACAGGAAATTGGCACCAGTTCGCGTGACATCTGTCAATGAGAATATATGATATTAATATATTAATATCTCGCACATAATTGAGATCGGTAAATCTACCAGGAATCTGTTGGTTTCTATATTTGGTCTTCAATTGTTGAAACATGGTAAAATAAACACAATGCTCGATGCAACAGTAACACAACATGTAATGCTGTGTATTGATTCAGATGGTCATTCGTTGAATAAATAGGTCAAATGATAACCTGAGGATGTGCGTGTGCTACAGAGTGTATGAGCTATCATCACTGCGGATATACAGTACGGCACAGGTGATACTTCTCGCTGATCAGGCATCGTACGTTGACCTATATATATATACTGTAAACCAAGTCGATATGGTACGGGCAAAGTACGCTGGAAACCTGCGTTATAGGTTCAAATACATATTTATACTTTACTTATCTGACTTACTACAAATCGCCAATGCACTTCGGTGCGAATATGATGTCTTTTTCAAACAGCTTTTCTTGCAAAAGCTTATAATTGTATAATATTTATGTATAGCGGTTATTAGTCAACAATGATGCAACAATCAAATAAAAAACTAATTTTGTATCTAAAAAAAAAATAATTGTTCTGAAGTTACGAAAAATTTGAATTTGGGAAATGTGAGTGAAAAGTTAAAAAAAACCACAGTTTTATAGTAAATCTCAGAATATATGGACAACACAAATAATGTTTACAAAATATGTTACTTCAAATTATATGCGCAAAATATTCATACTATTCGAGGCAGCGTTAACTTGTGTAGGCCAGTGATTGAACTGTTTATCGCGTTGCTGTGATATACAGTGCCAACTATGAAATGTTATCGCAATTAAAGCGCGATTCCGAAAATAACTGATATCAGGATATTATTGATAAGTAAACAAAGGTAAGTGGACGCGAGGTGTTGAGAAGTATGATCAGGAAAGGAAGTCAGATAGGCAGCGCTAGGTAACAACTGTTGACAGAAACAAAGGTGATATCTAAAGAAAAAGAGAAGGATGAGAGAGTCAATGAGAACGTCCACGACAGACAAAGGTTATAGGCGGTGTGATTGTCAATTTATATTGGCCAAGCTTTGACTTAAGGGCGTTGAGTATATGTGAATAAAAAAATAAATCAATTTCTGGTTTAAAATATAGAAAAACGTGTTGGATATATCGATATGAGTGATAGAGGTTAAAATATGTTTTGGCGGGGACAGACTTAGAGATAGCTTATCTATAAAAAGTACATAACACAAAAAGGCACGTGTAATCGAAATCAGGTTCGTATTTCCACATCTGATGCGTTTCCCACTTACACGTTTGCTATATGTAATCGCATCTGTAACCAGAGGCCACACAGGCGTTTAGGTAGCAACGTTCAATTACTCGTATGTATCAGTATTTTTGAAATGATCAGGTTATGAAATCCGAACTTAAATATTATTACGCGAAAGATTAGGTGTATATTTACTTAAATTCCTCCCATGTATCCCCGATAGACACACACGTTTAGTTGGCTGGGCGTCGAATCTATGGCCCGCTGAGTTACTCTTAGGTAGTATGTATCGGTAGCAGACCCTCCAGAAATATCCGAATGATAAATGCGTACTAGATCATATCGTTGTATTTCATTTGTGATAAAAAGAGTGCTGAGAAGAATTTCCTATTAATGATAAAAATGTAAATATAATCACAAAGCTCTGTCGAGTGTACGCCTGCGGTCTGACTGGTGTGAGCGCGTTACACAGCATCGCCCTTTTACTCATATAGGCTACCACACAAAGGCACAAAATCG